TTTTGCAAAATACATGGAAGTCACACTGCCTGGTCAAGGCCCCTCTGGTTAGTGTGGTCCTAACTGTAATCTATGAGCGCCTCTATCATGGAGCATATAAAGCAAAGGATGAATTGGGTGCAGGTTCGCCAGGAGGTAGCTCAACCTCCTTAAAGGCATAGGGACACACCAGGAGTCCCGCACATCAAAACTGCATAGGTGTGTCCCTATGCCTTTAAGGAGGTGGGGCTACCTCCTGGCAAACCTGCACCCAATTCATCCTTTGCTATATATGCTCCAAGATTGAGGCTCTCATAGATTAGAGTTAGGACTACACAGAGCCATCTTGACCAGGCATATTAGCAAAAGTTGTGCAACTAAAACCTCTGTTTTTAACCTTATTAGGTAAAGAGTGTATTTTTTTTGCAGGCTGGCTGGTTCTACGGGCACAGCAGGGTGTGAGGCGGTTGTACAACGTCGCATCCCAATACATTGAAAAAAGTAAGGCATGACTTACTTTTTTTCAGTGCACACCACCGCGTTCCTACTGCAATGCAGTGGTATGAATGGGCACCGTCCGTGACAAGGCCAATTGTCTTGTCTTGTGTTGGGGCTGTGCTCGAAACAACGGCCAGCGCAGCTCCAACGCAGATGTTGTGAATGGATCTTAACTCATTTCATAATGCACTGTAGATGTTGCTTCCACTGTTCTGCAAAAATGTAATGTAGCCAGTCTGCGGAGGAGCACAATGTACTGTACCTATAGACAAACAGCATTTATCATGTTCTGGCAGCAAACAAAATGCTACATTTGCAATACTATAGCTCCATGTGTTGTATCCCATTTTCATATGCATAATGCAATTACAAGATAAAATAACTAGCACACATTAGATGACTGTAGAGAAGAATCACATCTGTTCCCTGATGACATCACATAATCCATGGTGCAGTAAAATAGATAGAAATGACACTTTGCCAGGGGCAGCATGTGATTTGAATTATATTCTCCCTTTTATTTTTATTTTTTTTCTAAGACAGTTCAATTCCCTGTTAGTTGTCCTTTAGCCCAGTGTATATTAGATTATATATGGAAAGCTTAATCCAAACAAGAATCCATGGCATTTACATCTCTCACCTCTGAAACATGCATGCAGTGGACTGGAAATGTATAATTTGAAACTGAGAAAAAAAAAGAGATCCATTCATCTCAGCATTGACAGCATCTATCCACCCCTCCCTTTCTCAAGACTAAACTGCACTGAAACATAATGCTGTTACATTATACATTAATACATATGGCCACCTACAGGATATTACCAGCATCATCCAGCTAATGTGAATTGCATTCACCTGCTGCCAATTTACCAGCTCTACTGCTTCCTGCCAGTTTACATGACAGTGCAGGCAAAAAAAAGGTGGGCTACACCTTCAAAAAGAGAAGGTAATCATCTCCATAGCACAAGCTGTCATTTCTGAGAGCACTAGCTAAGCAACATTACCTTAGCTGGATGAATTGTATTCAGGGAAGTGACTGATATCTATAAATAAACAGCAGGCCATCCACCATTCTAAGTGGTTTTGCATAAACCTTCCCTTCTCTTGGTTTATTATATCTTTCACTAGCATAAAATCACATTGCCATACCCAGCACATCATGGCTGCATACATGAATGTATTCTATGAAAACTATCGTTTTTTCAATGACATTTAAATATAGGTTTAACTGTAAAAGGATTTGCTTACTGTAAAATGTTTTATTAGTGTGTGTTCATGTTAAAGCAGAAGTAAAGTTAGAAAAATTGCTGGGAGGTAGACATTTTGGCAGAGGAGACATGCAAAGTCTCTTCTGGCAAAAAACGCCTTCCTCTCTCCTACAGCGATTTTCTATGTTCTGTGTACACTGTACGCCGCATGCTCCATGTAGTGTACACACTCAGCTTGTGTACAGTATCTCTAAGATGCTGTGAATGGGTCTGATGGCGGGGAAGAAGTAACTACCGTGTGCATGTGCAGGAGTTACAACACCAGCGGCCACCCAATGGCCTAAAAGAACTTCAGAGAACCTGAAAGTATCAGCGGCAGAGATGGCAGCAGCAGGAGACAGATCGATCCGACAGCGCTGGAGAAGGACACACTGGTGAGGTAAATGTGGCCTAATGTGCAAGTAAGTATGATGGGAAAACTTGCAAATTATGGCAAAAACCCACCCAGCTCACAGTGGTTTACCACCACTTTGTGTCCATTTATTGTTTGTAATGACATACAGTATGTACATGGAGAAGCCATGTTTTCTTATTGCAACCAAAAGGCTGCAATGAGTTCCACTAATCCTTGGACCATGCCTTGTCCCTCTATACTGAACTTATGTAAGCATAATGGGGTAGAGTTGATAAAGGTCTGTGACACAATTCTGGCATTATGGCTGTATCTAGAACTCTTATGCCCAACTCATTAAAGGCGTGTGATAGTTCTATAGTTTATACCAACTTATGCAACAAAATCATAAAGTTCTTGCAGCAACACTTCATTAATAAATTAAGCCATTTCAGAGTTGAGAGAGCCGGAGGTAGTTAAGACGAATGTAATTTTGGAGTGCTGACCCACCCCTTTCCTCCAGTAGTTGGTTGCTAGGACACTGTATGACCACAGTGTCACTGGTTGCTAGGATGCTGTTGATCCACAGCATCATTGGTTGCCAGGAGGCTGTGGGCTCACCAGTTGCAAGTATTCTGGATCGGCTGCAGAGGCTAGGAATGTAATTTCAGTGACAAAATGAGCGTGTCTGCCCTGAAGTGATATTAAGGGTAGTTTATTTTACTCAACCACAACTTACATGTTTGAAGACCAGGTGAAGTTTATTTGTCACAAGATCTGTAAGATGTAATGCTGAGGTATGTAAGAAGCATTGATTTTCCAGCGGCGTTAAGGAGATTTGGGTGGAAAATTATTACACAAAATGAGCCCTAGAGACAAAGAGGTAGGCGGGGCTTAACAGTAAACAAACTACAGTGGGAGGTAGGGACAAACTTAATTCAGAGCAAACAAACATGATATGACACCATAAACTCATGGACATGACAGCCAGGACACTGTTGACCCACAGCATCTTCAGCTGCTAGGATGCTGTTGGTCCACAGCATCTTTGGTTTCTAGGATGCTGTCAGCTGCACAGAACTAAAACATCCAATAATGCTGGGGGCTGGACATGCATGAGGATAGAGTGTCCGCATGTCTGTATGTGACAAATGTATGTAGAAGTTACCGACATGTACATTAATCTGTTGCAAGTAGTGACATTTGTAGCACGAACAGGAGACATTTTTCATATGAGTTTCTATGACAGTCTTTATGAATTGCAGAAAATGAGTCCTCAGTGGTATCTTACACTTTTGGTGGCTATACTTGCAGAAAATGTACTTGGCTTGAAAAACAACACAGTGCGGCTACTTCATCCAAGGGCTGGTAAGCAACAATGTAATACACTTCTGTTCTTAGGCTTAGATCGACTTTAAAGCTTATATGAGATTTTAATGATTGGGTTTACATATACTTCAACTCTCCAGCCTCTACCAAAAACTGTCATATTAGATTTGGGTGAATTCATCTTTTAAAGTTTGTCTAAACTCTGAAGTGCAGGAATAAGTACAAGTGCTGAGAACCGTATCCAGCAATTAAGGCAAGAAGTGAGCTGTACGTGCTGGGCAGCCGGATAGCATTATCAGGGACGCCTTTAGAAACAGGTATTTCTGTCAATACTTCAGTAAATGTGCCAAGCACAATCCCAAGTGGAAGAAAGATAATTTGTTTAACAGGTTTCATCACAAATAATTTGATGAGTTTTATAAAATAAGAGATTAACTCATTTCCATGGTGACTGCATCCTATAAACACAGGTTGTCAGAACTTTGTTCGACATTTTGGGAGCTTAAGGCCGTTAAGGAGTGTAATTTAAAGAAGAGCTGGGAGATGGTCCCTTGAGCTGTGAGAAGAAAAGAAGAAAAAAATAAGCGTCTGACTCGCAGATATATGAATTTATTTTTCCAATCACATCCGCCATTATGCTTGTTTGTTGAAAAGAAATCAAGTGCTCTTTATTTCCACTTGTGGGTTCCTGCTGTTTCTGGGAAAAGAAAAAAATAGAAAGCGCAAGAAAGAAGAAAGATCCACTTATAGCTCCCACCACCGTCATCAATTTTAGCTGGAGACTAGTGTAAAGAGAGTTGTTATAATTCCGATATTGAAAAGCATGCTAGCTGTCAGCTATGATTCTAGTCTTGTCTTTTTTTGTCATCTGTAAATACATATTTACTGTTATTTCCAATTGTTCTGATAATAGCTTTACAGAGTTATTAAATGTGTATCTACCTTATCCCTGCAACCGCACCATTTTACTGCAACTGGTAATTTCCTATTTCACCTTCACGGAAATCTGGAATTGTAGCCCATGCCTTCATATGTAAAAGTGCTATGTATATTGCATGGCTTTAGTCAGGAAATACATAGGACACTGTTGCTTACAAGAGCATTCTGGGACATTGGACAAAGAGGGAGTGAGACAGCTAGGATGTCTTAGTTTACTGTAAACTTGTACTGAAAAAGATATGGGGGCTGACTGCCTATTTAAAGTAGATATAAACCCAATCACTAAAATTGTAAACTTTAAAGGTGAACTCCAGGCAAATAAATATTATTTAAAGTGACAGTGAAGGTAGTGTGAGGCCCCGTTCACACTGAGCGATTTATCGCACGGTAATTCCCGCGATATCGCGGCTATTTACCGCGCGATATTGCTCTCCAATGCATGGCAATGGGGCTCTGTCCGTCACTGTCGCGGGTTGTGCGTCGCTACAGCAAGACCCTTTTTGGAGCGGATTTTGCCGCGATTCTAGCTTGCTCAATGCAAGCATTTGCGCGACAAACGCGCAATTTGCGAATCGCTCAGTGTGAATGGGGCCTTAAAGACGTACCTTATGTGATGCCGCTTGATCCGTGCCAGTCTCTGATCCAGCGCAGACTCCTCATGTCCCACAAGGTCTGTCCAAAGTGTACGCTCCCGGCTGCGTCCATTCAGCTTCCATGCCGCTCTCCTCCTCTCCCCTTTCAGTGATCTGGACTGTGCCTGCGCCCGCCCACACTTCCTTCTTCACAGCGTTCCGGAGCCGGGACTTCTGCAGCCGGGAGCAAGCGGTGCTGACACAGGTAAGTTGGGATTTTCCAATTTTTAAAAAAAATAATGTTGGGGCATATATCTACTGCTTACTAGCAGTAGTTGTGTGCCAACAAAACAAGACTTTAATTATACTTTAAATATATTCCTCAATAGCCACAAAGGATATAAATCCACTTTGTGGCCACCAAATCACTTTGCAAATGCAGTATTACTTTGTAAAGGTAGCAGTGACATCATCACTGTGCTGTTCATATTCTGTGCAGAGAGCAGAGCAGTGGGAGGGACCCAGAAGGCCCCACCCACCACAATCTGCCTGCAGAAAACTGCAGGAGGGGGCATGAGCGATGAGTATTTGACCCATCCAACCAGAGGAAAACTTGCAGTGGTGGGGGAGCAGCAATGCAGCAGCAGGGGAGCAGCGAAGCATTGACATTTCAAAGTCACCAGAAAGGTTAATATATTTCCTCTTCTTTTTGCAGGTATGTTTTTGGATTCAAGTGACCCTGTGCTGGCAGGGTCACTCTCAAGCCTAAATGTAAACATGATGAGTATTTGACCCATCCAACCAGAGGAAAACTTGCAGTGGTGGGGGAGCAGCAATGCAGCAGCAGGGGAGCAGCGAAGCATTGACATTTCAAAGTCACCAGAAAGGTTAATATATTTCCTCTTCTTTTTGCAGGTATGTTTTTGGATTCAAGTGACCCTGTGCTGGCAAGGTCACTCTCAAGCCTGAGGTTAAACACAACAGCCAGACAAATTGCATTTTTAGAAGGAGCAGTCAACAACAGCAGCTTTCATAGTGCTCTCAGTTCAGGTTTTTCTAGCAAACTAAAGCTTAACCATAATAACATGGCACAACCTACCAAGAACTAGCACCAATAAAAAGATTTTGTCTCTTCTGGACATACCTCAAATGTGAAACAGTAGAAAGGTATCATGGCACACTCACAAACCAGCATGTAAAACAACTTGTCTCACCACTAAGGTTAATAACAGAGGTTTGGATACACGTCTTCTGCAGAAAATGTGAAAGCCGCACAGCCGCGCCAAGGCACCTCTTATAGTGCGGTCCTAACTCTAAATTATGAGAGTCTCCATCTTGGAGCACATGGGGGCAGAAGATTTCAAATTGGGTGCAGGTTTGTCAGGAGGAAGCCCAACCTCCTTAAAGGCACAGAAACACACAAGGGATCCCGCACATCTCATAGTTTAGAGTTAGGACCGCACTATAAGAGGTGCCACAGGACTGCCAGACTGTGATAGGAGGCTGAGCGGTGTGGGAGGAGAGATGTCGGCCGCTCACAGCGCACTCCTCCCACAGCGCTCGTTCGGCTGTCACACTTTCTCTCCTCCCCGCTGGGACACAGAGCAGCGCCCAGCGGGGAGAGAAGAAACTAGGGATGCGCCGATGTATCGGCAAGAAAATGGCCCTTTCGGCATTGAGCCAAAAGTGCCATTTTCTGCCGATATGTTTCGGCGGACGATATATCGGTGCATATTAAGGAGTATTTCCACTTTTGCAGCCATATTATGATAACACCTGTATTATATTTATTACATGTTCCCATTCACATAGCATTACTTTAAAAAAAAAAAATTAAAAAATGTGTCTTGCTGTTTAAATTGCTTTTACTTGGGTTATGGTAATGAATGGTGATGAATCATTCTCACATTTAGCAAAACTCCACTTCTATACCTTACGGTTGACATTTCTGTGTGATTTTTTTTTTTTTTTTACAGTAAACACTTGGCTTGTTAAGAGGTAACATTTCTACTTGCTTCTATTTTTTGTGATGTTAGGATGGGCTGTGAGGGGTTAAAGGATGACAACACTGGCTTCTCTATTGCTTATTAATGAAGTTAATGAGAAAAACACAATCCTCAAATTTCACCTCTAAGTGTTTCTATAAGGACAGATTACTGTGAAGGTGATCCAAAAAACATGGAATCAGCCATGTTGCCTTCTGCAACAAAACAAATAAAAGGTAAGAAATATAAAAGAAAAAAGAAAAACAAAAAAACAGTATGCTCTGTGAATAGGAACACATAACAAACATATAGAGGGGTTTTCTCAAATTTGACTGCAAAAGTTGAAATACACTTTAAGGTGGCCAGAAGAGATGAATCATTCTCACATTTAGCAAAACTCCACTTCTATACCTTACGGTTGACATTTCTGTGTGATTTTTTTTTTTTTTTTACAGTAAACACTTTCTATACAAGTTTTGAAATGGAGTGCATAGAATGACTTGATAGCTTTGGAAAATAGAAAACATACAAGTTATCACTTTTATTGTTACGTATCAGGAAGATGTCTGTTTCTATGAAGTCTTCATCACAGAATTGATGTTTACATATTTCATGGAACAAACATAGTGAAAGCAACCAATCAGTTAAACTATGACATTGGTCTAGCAGTCAGATAAGTATTGAAATGAGCAATGCTGAAAAGCTCATTTTATTAATACGAGGAATCAAAAGAGTTTTAGTAATGAAAAAGAATAACGGTTGCTAAATACTAAATGCCAGCAGGGATTTATTTTTCTTCTAATTTATCTTTTTTTCTAGAGAAGAGACAGGAATGTTACAAGGAATAGAATCCCAGAGGCAAGATGAGGGCTGCTCCCATTCTTCTCCCATGATCCATTTCAGTTTGAATGCTTTGAAATATTCCAGACGATGACTGCAAATATAAACAAATATCATCAAGTGAAAAAAAGATGAAAGCCTCGCAGTTCTCTTTGTATTTGGAGTTGATGAGCTCACATTGGATCTTAAGTGCTTTTTGTCTTTCTCTCTACCGCTGTTGAGATGCCTATACACTGAGAGACCCAGCTACTTCATACAATCAATGGGTAGCCACATCTTCAACAGATTTTGACATACTGTACATACTTATTATTAACGCTGAAGTGCTGGCTATTTGGCAATTGATGCAAATATACTTTTATCACATAGGAGACAATGCAAAAGATCACATACTAAGACAGATGCGGTCATATTGTTCAAAAATCTGTTTTTCACTAATTTAAGCGCCGGCAAAGGGACAATTTCAGCAAACCAGGCTGAAACTTGTCAGAGAAAGTGGCCCGTGTGGGTTAGGCACCATGTTGTGTAGTCACATAGTACATGACATTCAATGGACAATAACTGGGTTAAAAGAAAAGTGGTATACAGGAATAAACTCATTGTACCCATCTCTCATCTGACTCCAGTGTCTTCTGTATCACTGATTCATTCATGTGCCATTTTATGCAAGTGTGAAAAAGTAAATAATTTAGAGATGTCAAATTTAAATGAACCTGGGCTGAATTGAATGGTATATACAGTACCTTTAAACGGCCATAATTAAAAGAGAACTATGGGGTAACCTTTTTATCCCATAGTTCTCTTTAGGGTCATGGGAAGATATATACTAACTTCCTCCCATGACCCAAAACTCAGTACATAGCGGGCTATTGACACTAAACTCAGGAGATCGATTTATAAAAGTGCATTCAAGTACCTTAATTATTAACAAAAATTTATTTTATTTGTGTATCACTCAGCTGTAGATCCTCAAATCATCTCTGAATTGGTGCTGACACTGTTTTTCCTTCTGGAGGGGGGCTACTTTTGTTCCTCATGGTCACTCCCGTGATGGACTGCAATCTCAGGTTTAGTTTAATAATTTGTATTGCGATTGTAGTCCATCACGGGCTTTGATATCCCTATATTCCTATCACTGTATATAATGTTCGTAACCATTAAAGGAGATCTCTAGAAGATATAATTGAATAGAAAATTGAAGGGTAGTTGGAATGGGTTATTTAGTTGCTGCAATGGAAGTTTGTTCCATTCATAATATAGCAGGGACAGAAAGTAAAGTAACAGAGTTAACGGTACTGCTGTACTCCTGGTATAGTTTTTGGACAGCTACATCTTAAAAAGGACAGCACATAGGTAAATGTAATTAACATTTACCTTCAGCAATCCTTTGTAGTGATATTTTCAGGAGTTCTCCTAAACTGATTTGAGACCTTTCTTTCAAAATGCTGTATTAGCCAAGACAGTATATATAGGATGTTCTGTATGGTTTTTAGTAGGGATGTCCTGATACCACTTTTTCAAGACAAAGTACAAGTACTTCCCCTCTTGTACTTGCCGATACCAATTACTAATACTTTTTCTTACAGGGACAGGTGACTTTAAATGATCCATAGTACAACTACATGTTATGTACTATGGATCATGATTTAACCTATTCATGTTAGCAAGAGAGAATTGTAAATCTATTGCTGTAATGTAGTGGAGGTGTGTGCTGTATATATGTACTACATATACAGTACGTACGTCCAGTACACCTGGCAATAGATTTACAGCCAGCCCTGTCCCAGCTTCCCTCACTCACAGTTTCACTCTGATCCCTGTTGCCTCACGTGATGCCTCTTGTTGTCGGTGCTGGGCAGGATCGCTGCATCACATCTCGGTCCTCAGCTTGTGGGAGGTGCTCACAATTCTGCCCTGCTAACATGAATAGGTTAAATCATGATCCATAGTACATATACAGGACACACGTCCAGTACACTACAGCAATAGAGTTACAATTCTCCCCTTCTAACATGGATAGGTTAAATCATGATCCATAGTACATAAAATGTACATAATATGTAGTTGTACTATGGATCATTTAACCCCTTGGTTCTCAACTGGTGGGTAGTGAACCAAAAGTGGTTATGACCCCATGTTTAGTGGGTCCACGTGTGCCTTCCACTTTTCTAGGTGAGAGGTTCCTCAGCCTCCCCCTAGCGCAGGACTGTCAGTTCTCGCGCCAAGCAGCCATTCAAAATATGCTGCCCAGTGCCGAGTGTCAGCTTGAGGTGGGCTGGGGGTATGGCCGCGAGGGAGCTCATCCATACTTGCATTGCATACAGCTCACTCGTGTACCCTGGAGAGGTGCCTGGACTGGAGTGGCATCACAATCTGGCTCCTGGCACCTGTACAGGGTGTGCAAGGAAGCTTTACAAGTGGATGCACATATGGATGGAGCTCAGTCACAGCACAGCAGCCCACACTGCGTTCAATTGCAGTGCTACTTGGGTCACGACTTAATGAGCAAGGACAAAATGTGGGTCTTGAGGTTACACAGGTTGAGAACCACTAATTTAACCTATTCATGTTAGCAGGGGATAATTGTAAATCTATTGCTGCAGTGTATTGGGAATATGTACTGTTCATGTACTACATATAGAATACACTGCAGCAATAGATTCACTGTTAATATGAATGGGTTAAATGATCCATAGTACAACTACATATTATGGACATATTATGTACTATGGATCATTTAATATATTCATATTAGCAGAGGATAATTTTAAATCTATTGCTGCAGTGTATTGGGAATATGTACTATACATATAGAATACACTGCAGCAATAGATTCTTGTTGTTCACACAAAACACTAAGCCCAGGCCCCGTCTCACTTGCTGTTGCCTCAATCGCGGTGCCGAACGATGTGCCGAACGATTTTCTTCCCACGTGAGGACGTCGGCGGCGCTGAGCTGAAGAGGAGCGTCGCGTCACTGCTGCTCCGGTGGGCAATCACCGGCCACCTAAATTAGAACCCCACCTGGAGCGCCCCCCACCGGTGCAGCAGTGACGCGACGCTTGGCGCAGCAAGGCAAGTAAAGAAAAAAACCATAGCGCAAGCTTCGGCGCTATGTATTGGGGCATTTTGACAAGTACAAGTACTTGTCAAAATGCCCTGTATCGGTCCCTATACCGATGCTTGTATCGGTATTGGGACATCCCTAGTTTTTAGTAAGGCTGTTTTCAGATTCTATCACTGTACAAAACTCCTTCGCTTCCTGGCTTATGAGTAAACCTATTATCTTGTGCCAAAGCCCAACCTGAGGAGCACTAGTAGCAGGCAATAGAAGGTCACTTTCCAGCAGAGATTTTACCAAGAGGGATAATTTTACTATCTAAGCACAGAGACCCACGTCAATATTAACAGCTTGGCTAAAGAACACAAGTGGAGCAAATGCGGTAAGAGGATAATTCCTTATTTTTTAGTGAAAAGGGGATGATCAGCAACCAGTCCCTTAGAGACTGTCTAATATGTCTGAAAATCTCTAAGTACTACAATGAATTCAGGATGTACAGGAAGACAGTGCCTCTCACTGCAGTCAAATGAACCATAAATTAGACATATTGGGGAAGATTTATCAAACCTAGAGCAGACAGAATCTGGAGCAGTTTTCTATGGCAACCAATGACCTTCTCGCTTTAGTCTGTTCAGTTAAGATTTGAAAATGAAAGAGAGAAGCTGATTGGTTGTCATGCACAGCTGCTCCAGATTTTGTCTGCTCCAGTTTTGATAAATTCCCCTCATTGTATGTATAACATATTGTAAGCACAATTGTGTTTCTGGAAAATATTTGCTTTTTAAATTGGTATATTTGAATAATGATATGATGAATAATGATAATCATATTTAAGGCACATGAAGCATTCTGGTGTCATTTGGGGTTACATTACATGAAAGCAACAATATTTGGTTATATGGTGAGTAATTGAGATGCTTTTATCAATATTTAATAATTGCATAGAGTGCAATGACGACCTACAGAAACCAATCAAATTTTTATAAGGGTGAAAACAAATTGGGTGCTGATGTTTTCACACAATCACACATTTTATACTACCGTTTACTGAGCTATTTTAGTTTTAGATAAGGCCTAGGAATTCACTTTAATGAGCTACTGGCCTTCTTTTCACCATAGATACCATACATATTCTAGGACTATATCTTTTCCACCTAGGGAAAAGCTGTAGTCAAATAAGGATTGTTGTGCTTATTGATCTTCCAAAAAAAAACAGAAGTATCAAGATGAATATTTCCCTGGGAGGTGGGATATTCCATTACAGCATGGGAAGCTGGCTGATCCATAGAAGCAGACCCAAGAGTAGGAAAAAAATTAGAAAAATATATCAAACTCAGTCTGTCCAGAAACCACAGTAGTAATGGGATCTGTTGGATTCTGGTCATTTGTTTGTAAGTTAATCCAAATCCTGACTGAGCACTGAAAATAAGAAGCAAGCAAAGTACTGAAAGAAAAATGAAAATGAAGTTCCCCTCAATTCCAAATTCTCACCAGGTGAAAATTTAATGATACATTTAATACTCACAGATTGGAGTATAATATTCATTATACAAAAATGGTCAGTTTATTTTTGTGATGATAGGCAAGCTTCCAAGTAAAAGAAACTAAATGAACCAGGTATCTGGTATGCAGGGAGTAGTATAGGAGCTAAAGGGTGAAAGCTGAGCATTCAAAGTAAAAGGAAGAGAATTTTAAGAAACTTAATTAAATAAGAAAATAATACCTCCAAGGTTACGGCTACGAGAACTGCTTTTCACATGAGAGGCAGACTTAGATCTCCTATGAGATGTTACATCAGTGCTAACTGGCAGGTTTTTCTGCTTCATTAGGAGACCTTCTACAATTAAGCATTCACCCAGAGCCAAAGAGGTTTGGGTATGCCTGTGTTCACTGCATGACCAAAGACCATTCCTCAAAAGGCAAGTGAATGAGACATTGCTTAAACAAATTTTCAACACTCCAAGCATGTAGCCATAGTGCTCTATGAATATGGACAAACATTACTGCTTTGTGACATGCAACCTTAAATTCCTGAGATAACTTATCAAAAAGTTGCAAAGATTTAGGATCCTGCTCTGAGTTAGAGGAGTCACTTTTAAAAGATGTGATCCATTGAACCATAGTGTCACAGAGAAGAGTTACCACCAGAAGAGGGCAGAGAGTTGTTCGAGTTAACTCAAACAGGATGTTCATAAGGAGTCTAACTGTTTATCAATGAAGTTCCTAAAAGGAAAAGGTTCCATGAACTAGAGTGATGAGATTCCCATTCAGGTGAAGAACTGGAGACCCACAATGGGTAGGGACTATTTGTTAAAAAATGATTTATCAAAAATAAAATGTCTCTGCACATCATTCAGAGGAAGCCATTATTGTGAAGGAAGTTCCCAGTCTTCAAAGAGGAACTGTTTCAGAATAGAGGATGGGGGGAAGCTCCTTGTGTTAGCACTAGCTGAAAAAGATATGTTACCTGATACAACAGGATGATACTTTAATTGCATAGCAGAGCTTACTGCGTCAATTAAATTGGAAACAACTGTGTGCAAATCAAAGCATCAGAGTCTCGATAAAAGGAGACTGCAAGGGCTATGAATTAAAGGCAGAGATGGTGATAGGCCTTACAGGTTCTTTAGGATATAAGGACCAAGTAGACTCCAACATAGGTGGTGTTGCAGCGCCCTTGGAATGTCTGCAAACAGAATTTTCCATTCATTTTGAAGAGATTGAAAAAATCAGCAGTGGAAAAGGGAGGCCTAGTAGACACTGTAGGGTTTTCAGGCTGAAAATATTAAAGTTGCTGATAAGGACAAATCTATAGAAATAGGGGTCCCAAGGTCTATGGCATAGGTGTCAAATTCTTTAAAGGATACTGGTAATATACTCCTGGAAACGGTAGGGGAGCATGGTTGTCTGCTGCAGTCGGGCTGTCCTCTGATCATCTCTTAAAAGACATGTTGAACCAGTTAGTGGTAAGCAACTAAACCAGAGTGATGCAAGGCAACACATTCAAACCTAAACCACAGGAGCTGATAAGGTTCTTAGGCAGCTGGAGGTGACTGGGACAGGGAAGACAAGCAGTGGAAAAGATCAGAGGTGATGATCCACAAAGTGCTTCAACAGAAGTAGCTGTGGGAAATACTGCCGTTTGAGGTGAAGGGTAGGAAGGAAACAAGCAGTGCACACACACAACACTATCTGTATTGAATTACATTAGCACTAAATTCCTTGAGTATGAACCATTATCGCAGTAAAAAGGGCAGAAATTTTCAAAAGAAAAAAAGAGAGGTCAATAGTTAAAGATGTGATGCAATTCCCTGGTTGTAGCCTGCAGATCTATTCAATAAATGTGTTAAGAGGCTAGGGGTCTACATAGGGTTGCCACCTTTTCTTCAAGCCAAACCCGAACACTGTAGCGCCTTGCGGCAAATCTACAGGTTGTGCTAAAGCTCTAAACTGGGGTTGTACTCTGCAAAACACTAAAACAGGCCACTACGATGTGATATAAAGCAGAGTTTATTGCGTAAATGTACATCAAAAAATTAACATATAATAAGATCACATTACAATGTCCACTAAGTGATTCATTCAGAAAAACAGTGCTCAGTGACTGATTGACTTGTCACGAGAATTTGTGACACTTCTCTGGATATTGAGAGCCCTCTGTGGTAAACTAAGTTTTTACTCAAGTGTATAAAGCACCTAAATGTTAAGTAGAGAGTACAAAGAACATACACCAAAATGTTATCACTACATGTAGAGACTTACATACACTGGAATATATCAGAGGCTAGGTTACTCCAAAAACCAAACCACTGCTCTGTAACCAGAGAGCGCTCTCTGCAGCTAACTGACATAGTACACAAAATGCCACAATGCAGAGGTAAATGTTCACACAAAGTGATGTTAGCCATTTTCAGAGGCATATTTACATAGCAATAGACTGGGTCATACCCAGGGCTGTACCATTGCTCTGAAACTGGAGGTTGCTCTGCAGCTGACACAGTACACACAGGTCTGGAAGGCCCCATATGTAGTGTAGAGCTCAGTACTCCTAACATTGCTACTTTCAGAGGCATACTTACATTAGGAGTCATAAAAGACTGCGATACACTATAGGCTATACTACTGCTCTAAAAGTGGTCTGCAGTTAACTGGCACAGCACATAAAGGTCTAGAAAGCACCGTAGACAAAGCCCAGTGACTGAAGGATTGATGTTTTGCCCCATCCATGGACCTACCCACAGAGTGAGTCTTTAGAGACCAGGCCACACCAGAGGCTGTGCCACAGCTCTAGACCTAGAGAGTGCCCTGGAGCTACCTAGCATGGTACATTAAGGTCTGGAGAGCGCCACTGGCAATGCCCAGTGCCTGAAGGTCAGATTCCAGGCTAGTCTAGCAATCTTCAGTTTAGTAGGGTCCAGGTATGACCTCTAAGGCTTTGCCAAGGATAAGCCATTTCGCACTGTTGCTGTGTACAGACTACGGACCAGAACAAGTAGCATAATAAATGTCTTGATTGTAGAGGAAAAAACATCCACAAACAACTGAAAACACGCTGTGCATTTTCTTTTATTCCTCATTTATTTATTTACCTGCCAACCATCCAGTTTTGGCAGGACAGTTTTAGTTTTATGATCCCAGAAGGGGCTGTGCTTAGCTATAATAGGCCTAGTTTATTACAATCATAGGTACTGTAGGGCACATTACATTTTCCTAGTTTCTAAATAATTATGTATATTCATACTTACAAATTGGCACCTTGTCCTTCACTTATTTCTTCTGGAGGAATTGGATATAAAGACTCATATACTCTGCCAATTCCTGAGCCATGGATAGCATAAGAATTCATCATGTCAACTCCAGGAGGAAAATAAGGCCAGGGAATAAGAGCAGTGCCATGCCATTGTCCCCAATCTGATGTGACATCTGCTGAAAATTCCAGTGGCAGTTCTATCTAATAAAGCAGAATATATTAATAAATGCAATATTTGCATTTAACAGATAAATACAAATACATTTACACACAATTCTAACAGCCCTAAAAATCTTAAAGCAGTCATTTCATGCAAACATTGTCATTCCAACAGTATCATTTACATTGCCTCAGAACTTTAAGTAACTGAAATTTGAAAAAGTTCAGCCCAGCTGGTATCAGAGCTCACTTCCTGCAATCTTTCTAAACTTCTGATCATGTGATGTTATCTCTTTTCCCAAGCCATCTCTACAAACCTAATGCAAAGGATAACATCACACATCATTTAGAGGGCTGTAAGGTACTTATCAAGATAAGCCAATAACGGTACATGCATGCGGCCCCGTCTTCTGGATTATGGGCAAACATGCTTTAGCCAGGAGTTGCGTGCATGGTGGTATCTGAACCTTACAAATGAACTTCGGAAAAAAACATCTACATACACAAATGAAATACATATAAGAGCACTGTTTACCTGCTATGGGATTTAAATTGCTGCCCATTTAGTCCTGAGATTTACACAGTCCCAGCACACGGTACACCCCAGCAAAATACAATTTTCTCTGTTACAGGTACTCCAGACGAAACCTCCATGGGAATGAATGTGACCCACGGGCCCAGCCAAGAAGATTTTGACAGGAGGCTGAGAGATCTAGTCTGTGATATTTTACTGCATTAGGAACAGCTGATTAAAAAATAGGGAGGGGAACTATGATATAGTGTAAAGGTGCCCATACACCTTACGACCATCGCAAGACTTTTGTCTTGCGATGGTCGTATGCTTATTGAAAGCTCGTACGATCTGCCCACCTTGGACGGGCAGATCGTACTTGCGATCATCGAAAGCCCGCCCCGCTGAGGGGCGGGCTTCCGATGACCGCAATGCAGAACGGGCAGTGTGCGCGTGCGCACACCGGCCCGTTCCGCAGTTATCGGACGAGCAGGCTAGAAACCCGCCGACAATCGTACGATTCTCGGCGGGTATTCGAGCATGTTGGTTCGACAAAAGACTTGCGACCGTACAGTAGAAACGGTTGCACGTCTTCGTTCACACTGCTCGATTCTCGTACGATCGCGGGATTTCGCCCGATTCTCGTACGAGAATCGAGCAGTGTATGGGCACCTTTAGTGTAACAATGTTGTTATTTCTCCACTCCCAGCCTGGTGACTGAACAATGAAAAAGCAGCAACAGACAGATGATGAGGTAAACTCTGCTCCCTCCTCCTATAAGCCTATTCCTTGTCTGTATACCTGACTGGCTCCCATAGGTGCCTCTCCCAGGCTGAGTGCTGCTGTACAGGGGATTGAAAGAGAATGATATCCTTCTGATTTAAAGGGGAAATAAAGTCACCCTAAAAAAATGGTCCCCCAGAAGTTTTTTGCCATAATGTGCCAGTATGCTCAGCATGTTAGCACATTATAGCACAAAGACATTAGTTTTAGTTATGTGTTTAGATGAAGCACAGAGATCTTGAGGAATGCTGAATTAAGTTTGACAGCATTGAACAGAAAACATATAGATCATAGAGAGGGAAAACATTTACAGATAGAACTTCCTATTGATCACAGATAGAAGCATGCATATAGAAAAACTAGCATTGACTAGACTTGCGCCATCTAGTGCTCAAGCGATAATACTACATCTCTGAATGTCAGTAAAACAAATCAGTATGTTGCATTTCCAACAATTAGCACATGTCTTTGTATGGGATCATTTCAAATCGGCTTGTAAAAACATACACACAGGCCTGTCCCTTTAATGAGGCAGCGTGAGGCTGTTGTCTCAGGCAGCACCTCTTTGGGTCACCTGGGTGGGCAGGGGGGGGCAGCAGGCAGAGTGTCCATTTTGCACAATCACTCCCAGCTCCCACCCCCAAGCACCACATCAGGCACCAAAAATGCTAGCGATACCATTACATACATAAATAATCATAGGCATTTGTGACATAGTTAAAACAAGCCTTTTGGATGACTAACTTTGGGTGGAGTTAGACGGTCCTAGATTAGCAATAAAGGGGTAGGGCTTGGTAGTCAGAGACAACACTGTGTTGCTGTTGGCAATATACCTATTACAAGGTCAGTAGCCAAAGAGGGTGCATGATGGAAGAGACAAGATGTCCTTATTATATGTAAATCAGCTACAACATGGAAATAAGCTCCATGAGTAAAAATAGAACACAGCACCTACTTAAACAGTAAATGAAGAGGAATTATGCATTATTCATGTATAGACTAAATAGTAATTACACAGAAACCACTAGAACAACAGCCATTGTTAATTTATGAAAAAGCAGTGCAATATTTTCATAGCCTGTATTCATTCCACGTTGTGACAATAAATAGTAAATTATGAACAGTGAGTTGAAAAGTCACTAATAAAATAATTATTGTTCGTACACAAAGGTTCCAGAGGTTTATTTAATCGATTCCTCAAAGCCTGGCTGATAATTAGTGCCTAAATGGAAAGATCACATGCAGGAAACGTGGTGACCAGCAATTACTGAAAGGTTAACAGTGAACTTGTGGTAATACATTTTCCCACCTTGTTTTTGAAGTATCTAGATGGCAAAAAAAATCATGAAGCAGTGTATGTGTAGCAACCAGGAAACTGCATTAGAGATGAATGGACTTCTAATGTGTCACACTGGGGGCCATTTTTAAAGTGTTTTTTCTGTAGGCATAAATCGTTGTGGTCACACAGTAAATAAAGTGTATGTAAAGACAAACAAAAAAATGTTTAGAGTAGGGAAGGGTTTAAACCCCTATTAAGTTACTGTCTGTGCCCAGCCGGGGGGAATTTCCCTTGACAAGGTAGAACATAGTCCCATAACAATTTTACCCCCAAACTCCCATGCTACTATGCCACCACCCTCCAATAATCCCCACCTGCCAATTAAGACACCACACTCGAGATTGGAGTTAAAATGGCTGTAGCAGCCTTTTAACAAGATATCCGGTACCCTATCCCACCTGGAAAATTGATGTACCTCAGGGACCACTCTACTCCATAACATACCTGGCACGCCTATCCAGCGTACCTCGGCAATGTTTCTAGGTATGCCCAGCTGCCTGCCATCTGGACGAACATCTGCCCGTTTTGCACCCCAAAAGACATAAGAATGGCCTAAAATCCACACGAGGCCAGGACTGGAATCTAGAAAAAGAAACAATAACAACAAGACAATACAGCAAAATCCAGGAACCGCCAGAGAAAAACACAGTTTAACATGTAAACACAACTATACAAACTGGTCACAACAAATAGGGGCGCACATACAAACGATATCTGGAAGACTCCCACCTCCATCTTTAACTCTTGTCCTGAAGACACAACAGAAAAAGAAAGAAAATCTCTTCAAGGTGAATGGAATTCTCATCTTAGAGAGATGCCACAGGAATAGATGTTCCCATTGGATGATTTTACATACCCATGACAACCACATTGGTAGTCTATGCCCAAAATAGAATGGCAGACTAGCATTTAACATCTCTGGGTGGGTTCTTGGCAATTTGGTGCCACTTACTTTAGTCTGTTCTATAGTTCATTCAGTCAATAAAAATGTGAGTAGAGGGTTAGGGACACAATATACATAAAAATAGCAAAATATCCTAAGGCCTTCTAATAGCAAAGCAATTGATAATGATCCACTGATAAACAACCTTTTAATAACAACTGGTCCTCTGACTTTATGTGAGCAGTCACAGGTACTGTAAAGAGTTGAGTAATAATGTCTGCATGCAATGTCCATCCGATAGCAGCTCCCCCCGTTTTTGTTTTTTTTCAACATAGCAGACTTCTCTGAAGATGCTCCATTCAGGTACCAACCTTCCATAGCAGATTAAATCAGCTTAGATGCCTTGGGCCTTCAGCACACGGCCCCACCTAGGGCAAGGCCCCAGAAGAAGAGAACTCCTGAATGTAGCATCCTCACCAGGCAAGAGCCCAGAAGGGAAGGACCCTTCTAGAAGCTTGTTCCAAATATTTATCCTCTGCCCCCAGCTTACAAAAGGGGGTCAGGAAAACAGCTGATACGGATGACTCAGCCCCACTGGAAGTGACACAGTCGAGAAAGTGTATAGGATCGAGAAAAATTATAGAACACTGACTTTGACACTGTCCGGCCCCTCCCACTCTCCTCCCACAGCTTACAGCCCAGAAGCATGGACAGCCAGTGGCGGCCTACAGTGGGTGAAAGTGCCTAAGTACCAGACATGGAGCGGAGTAAGGCCAGAACCAGGTAGGGAGCCCAGTGGGAGGAGAACACCATCCCCCAGCCAGTCACCCCTTTTATGGACTTACTAGGAGTCCTCACTAGTGATGGGCTCGGGCGTGTTCGCAGCTCCATGTGCCGAGCCCGCCAGGAAGGTGACAGCGCCAATCACAGGCACTGAGACAAATTCCGATCTCTGCAGCTGCGGACTGGGATAATGTCTCAGTACCTGTGATTGGCGCTGTCAGCTTCCTGGTGGGCTCGGCACGTGGAGTTGCGAACACGCCCGAGCCCATCACTAGTCCTCACATCACCCGACCATTCACACTAGTGTTACATGGATGCCAAAAGTGGCAGCCAGGGGCGGGGGGAAGGCGGGGGAAGAGGCAGAGCTGGAGGGTGGGCTAAGTTATCATGGGCCTCTGGGTTGTACTTGCCCCCTGGGCTAAAAGTTGCCAGTCAGTCCATGCTGTATTCCACAACTGCCGGACGTCGAGAGCAGATTAAATTGCGAATGGCATCGGCGCCCGGCCGTTGCGGTATGCGGGATTGTGGGCGGCGTTGGACTAAATGTCGCAAACGCGGGGTGCCGATGCCATCCGCAATTAAATCAGCTCATCGGTGCCCAGCGGTTGCGACATGCAATGAAAATTATTAGTGCCCCCCCAGATTTGACTGTTGTATCTTATGTGCCCCCCCTACATATTGTTCCTAGAGTCGCCACTGACCCTAAGTGATTGGTTGAGATGGATAAATACCCATAAGTCATA